GGAAAGTTCCAAAGACGTGCAACCGAATGGGGGTGCAGGCAGCGAGTGACATAGGCAGGAGGGCGTGGGGGAGGCAGGTCGGCAGACAAACAGTACACTCGGCAGCAAAGGAGAAAGAAACAAGCCACAAAGCAGCAAGGCACAACAACAAGGCAGAAGGTACATGTTCCAAGAAACAAAAAACGAAAAAAAAACAAAAAAAAACGGATGTGTAAACGGCCATGACGGCGCGTTCATAGAGGGGATTGTACGAGTTTCCATCTATTTTTTCCGTGGTCGGGAGGACCTTCGGCACATCCGGATCTGAATTATTTTGAGAAACTCTTCATCATCTATAGTGTTCTTAGTCGAAACCGGGGGTATTTCATGATTCTGTGCTTTCATAAGGGACGCTGGCCCCAGCCGTGTTGCTCCCCACGAATAGGTTTGGAGCGTAGTCTCAAAAAAAAAAAAAGGAGAGAAAAAAAGGTGTTCCATTGGAGTTGCACCCACTCGTCAGGAGGCTGAGCCCTCGACTTATTGAAGGCAGACTGTCCACAAATGGAACTTGCAGCAGGCGGCGACTCAGCGAAGCACAAGGCGATGCTGTTGTGGCGACACTTACGTCTGCCCGTTGTACGGATACGGGCCGTCCGTACATTCGGAGGGTCCGTATGTGTGGCCCCCTCACCGACGCACAGGCTGTGCGTACCCGTTCTGGGGCCCTTTGGGCAGGGGGGGCGCTTCGAAATCCGATGGCGGGGGTTGCTGGAGTAGAGGGGTTCTTCCCAAACGAAAAACAATAGAAAATATGAACTTTTTCTTCTTCTTGGGTTGGTGCGATTTAAAAAAGAAAATAAAAAATTGATTGATTGATCGATTGTTTCATTGATTATGGATGGAAGGGTGGACTCAAAGAAAGGCATCCAATAATCAATCAATCAATTCTCAGGGGAAGGTAGTGAAAAAAGGGGCTGGATTGCCTACATCCGATGGGAGGGTGGACAATCTCCAGGGCTGGAGCATAAAGACTTCAGGAGGGACTACTGCATCTGCTTCAACGAATGGACTAAGGATAGTGAGATGCTTGCACAGATAGCAATTCTTGATATCACAAGCTTTAAAAAGCTTCTATACACCAATTGCAGAAAACAGTTTTACAGTAATAGCAATCGGTGCTGCTATGACAGGACTTAGACCAAGAGACACTGCCTATGAGTGCCCTCACCACTCACGGGGCTAGCTGACAACTATGTGCCTAGCTCCTGAGGTTCCTGTATAACAAGGCTTGTACGCTAGTGCCTCGACTGCAGCTGTATAGGGGAGCTCATTCAGCGTCAGTGCCCGCGTCCGCTGTCTGCTCAGATTGCTCCAGTAGAGAGTGAGAGTAATGTTCCTCGCATGAGGTAAGATAAAAATGGTGTGCGGGTGCGCCAGGAGATGTATATCGAGAGGAGTGGTGGGATGGGAGTCTCGTGAGTGAAAAAAAAAAAAAAAACCCTCATCAGAGTTCCCGGACCCCTTCGCTCTCCACTGACTGTCTTTGGTGGAACGGTGCAGAGTAAGTGAAAGGACAGAGGACAATGAGACGCTGGGCAGAGCAGATTAGAGTGCATTGGGGATTCGAACCCCCGACATGCGCATTATGATTCCGCTGTTCGAATCTACTAAACTATTCTGCCTTGAAGCAGAAGGGACAGAAATGGAGTGGCCACCTACACACAGCATCGTGTTACCTAGGTGCTTTTGGTAGGCATAGCACCGTATCTTTTGGGCAGGCGGTGGAACAGGGCCTGCGCAGTCAATCCCCGGTTATATGGGCAATCAATGCTGGCAGGAGACTGTGTGAACATCAGTTCTGAAGACGTTCTGAAGATGTTCAGTGGGACAGTGGACCCGTTTTTCAGTAGGTGCCGCTCCCCACCAATAGATTGCTGGAGCAACCAGGCGGCCTGCTAGGAGAGGATGCTCATATCACTCCCCCTAGCGTGTCGCAGGGATTTTCAAAAAAAAAAAAGAAAAAAAAAAAGAGATCTCTGCCCTGATCTTTGCTGATCAACGGCAGAGATCCCTCGCGCAGTATTTAAAAATCACGTGGTCCCAGTAGGCCCCGATTTTCCAAGGAAACTGCGGCAGCAGCCTCCCGGAGGCTGGACGGGCACTAGGACACCCGGAAATCATGGTACCCCATCCCCTTCCCGCCCCCAGCACAATGCGTTGGCTGGGACACGGAGTCTGCCGGGCCAGTCGACCACCTGGTCCCACCAGCTGCCAGCAGCCTCCCAGTCGGGGGAGGGTCCCCCTGTCCCTCTGAGGACCAGCACTGATGTGAGCAAAATTGCCAACTCTGGCGAGTCGCGTGTGAATGCTTTTCAAACAGACGAGTATCCTTTCCAGATAGATTGTGACATAATAATTTTCGTTTTCTTACTACTGTTTTTAATCGACCTTTTTTTTTTTTTTTTTTTTTTTTTTTTTTTTTTTTTTTTTTTTAGGAAGAAAGCTCCATTTATTGGTGGGGAGCAGCACCTGCTTACTTATGGTGAGATCGTAATCTTTATTCAGACTGTAATCCTGCTTTACAATTGGTTACAAATTTTGATTGGGGTTTTATTCACATACTTTCTACTCCTCGAGTTTCTGGCGAGGTCGAGATATTTATATTGCCCTTCTCATCGCCTATAGTTTAGGGTTTGGGGTTTGCTAACGATTGGGCTTTGGAGAAAACACGCGGAGCTTATCACGTGTGTGTACTCCTCGATCCGAGTCGATCGGCCTTCGTAGTACTTTGTAGTGTGAATGAAATTTTGCCATTCCAGTACACTCTGCTGTGCAAAGGAGATCCTCGCCACAACCTGGCAATTTCCATTATTATTATTAGTAGTAGTAGTAGTAGCAGTAGTAGCAGTAGTATAATTTTATACCACTACTACTATTATTATTATTAATTTATTATTATTATTATTATTATTATTATTATTATTATTATTATTATTATTGTTATTATTATTATTATTATTATTATTGTTATTATTATTTTTATTTTTAAACCACTACTACCTCCGAGCCTCTTTTTGCTGAGCTTGAAATTCACTGCGGTCCGAGTTTTGCCGAGCCTGAGTCCCACGACTCCCACTCCATTTTCTTTTCACATACTCTCACGAAAGGAAAGGAAAAAAAAAAAAAAAAAGCCTCGCAGCCATGATACAAGAGACATGCACCTCCTGAGGCCTAGCATCCAGCCTCTGCTATGACTTACAAAAAAAAGAAGAAAACAAAATCACAAAAGAAGGGAAAAAAGAAAAAGGAAACAAAGCTTCGGCCGTGAAATGCAGCTGTATACATTCTTGGGAGTGGTAATGTTGTCGAGGATTGGAATGCGATCAACGTTTGGCTGAGGGTCACTTCAGAATTCCTTATAAACTCGGAAATAAAAAATAAAAACGAAAACTAAAGCCAAAATATACCCCTTGGAAGTCAAAACCCCATTCAACCCTCTTCAAAACCCATGCATACCCCCTTTCCCCACCTTTTAAAACCCATGCATACTACCTCTTCAAGGCACTCTGCCCATGGAACATTCGAATATAACACCCGGCCG